CCCGCCCTTCAGACAGACAGACAGACAGACAGACTCTGTCTGTGTGAGGGAAGCCTAGTGGGAGGGAGGGACCAGGCTGAGCCACTTCAGCACAGGCGAGGGAGCACGTTTGGGGTAGCTCATTCTGAGCAGAGAGAGCGGGAGGGGACACCCAGGCCTACAACTTCTGGACCCCACAAAGTACCTCTCGGCACACAACAGGTATAACCACAGCAAAAGTTAAAAACAGATGCCAGTAAGTTCACCCGCCGGGGCTCCCAACCAAAGAATTCTGGGAACTGTCACTCTACGGAACAGGCCCAGATGAGTTACGAAGAACTCTCAGCACCCTCTTCTAGAAGTGACAGTTCCCACGATTCTTTTTTTTTGGTGGGGGGGTCCCCTGAAACACATGAGAGCAAAACAAGTCACAGACCGGTAGAAATGTTTGCAGGGCCTCCGCGACCTAAAAGAGGGCAACCCAGAGCTCTCCTCTCCAGCAGGTCCCACAAGGCCCTTTGCTTCACACCCCTGTATAATGCAACCCACAGTTACCCACCAAGGAACCAAGCGCTGCAGTTAACACTTTCCCTCCCATGCAAATCTCAATGTGTCAGACATCTCCAGTTGCAAAGCTACGCACAACCACTTGCTCCGAGATCATTCTGTAAAAAAACAGCCATGGGCAGCCTTTTTGAGTTTGGGTTCCTGTCAGCTTTCTCAAGTGGAACCTGTAAGGGAACAGGTAGGAAACCTGCATCCACTCCACTCCGCACAGGACAGAACTGCCACTGACAAGGCCTCAAAACATTTCAGGTTTCTAAAGTATAAAAACCCGCGGCCTGCTTCTCCTCTGGGCAGCTTCTCACCAACTATTTAGCCTTCTGCAACACTTAAGAAAGGCTGAAACACGAAATCACTCCAACCCTAGGCAGCTCACCAGCCATGAGCAGAACGGCTGTGATATCATGCAATTTTTCAGTTGGGGGGGGGGGAGAGATAAATCATGGACTGTTGACAATTAGCAAAGGCCCTGTGAGATAAATGCAAGGAGATTCGGCTGGGGGAGGGAAGGAATGTCGCCGGGGCAGGGGGACCTACTGTGCTGTGGGCTCAAGAAGAAGAGCAGAGAAGCAAAAGAACCAGGACGCCTGGGAGGCAGAGGGGTGGGTGGACGGGCAGAGTGCAGGCCAAGGAGAGGAGGACAGGGCGGGCCAGGGCGAAGGGGGTGGGAGGGACGTGGAGGTGGGAGGGGACCGCAGAGCTGAGGAGGCCGGCTTGCTGTGCAGCTCAGACCGGGAGGGTTCAGTACCCTGGGGTATAAGTGACAGGAGCCAGATCTGGTCCAAGCATGAAGACGTCAAATGCAGATTGCAGTAGGAGCCGCCAGGTCCAATCAAAGACGGCCGCCCGGGATCCCTCCGTAGCCGAGGTGACTGTGGTGGAGTGTGAGTGCCGAGACCCTCCGAGCGAGGCAAGAAAGGAAAGGGGGTTTGGGAAGCCAAAGTCCCTGCTCTGCCATCAGGGTGAAGACTTCAGAAGGGCCTGCTTTGTCCAGCTCTGGCGACAGAGATCAGGCAACCGTGGCAGAGAACTTTGACTGGGACCAAGGACAGTCTGCAGCTGAGAAGGAGGCGCCAAAGGCAAGGCCAGGGAAACGTTTGAGGGATGGAGAAGTCGTTGCCGGCTTGGGAGAGGCCATTTGAGGTGTCTGGCAGAGGGGTGTTGGCTGGTGGGGGCTGTCCTTCAGAAGAAGCGCTGGGCCAATTCCTTTCCTCCCACGAGTCCCAGCACAGAGGGGTGGGTGGGCCAGGGTTGCCCACACGGGCCCCCCCCCCCCCCGAGGAGGTAGCAGGGCCCCTGGCGAGGAGGACTGCCGGGAAAGGGGAAAGTATTTGGCAGGTGGAGACTGTTGTACGAACCCCCAGGGCTCCTTCTGGGGAGCCCTTGAGGAGGGGGTGTGTGTGAGTGTGGAGCCAGTGGTGGTGGTGTGGTTGAGCGGGCGGAGGAGGAGGAGGAGGACTCCACTCCGGGGAGAGCCGGGCCTGGTCCCCCCACCCCTCCTCCGCGTGCACCGGGGTTCTGGCGAGAGCTGTCTGGG